TACAAAAATTACAGTGGATAGATAATAATATTAGTAATTTACTATAAAATTTTTAGAGTTAATACTATTACCGATTTATCATGGAAATTCCTACAAGTTCACCTTTTAACAATATTAAATTCTTTAAAATAATTAGAGCAACCCTAAAACATACGAAACCTATGCGAACGAAATACCCTATCAGATAGACCATAATTTTATAAACTTAACGAAACTGGTTTGATATTTTTATGATTTTTCTACTATTTACTACGAATTTCCAAACATTCAGCCGATTACTAATATTAACAAAATACCGAAGAAAGAAGAAAAGACCCTTGGGCCCGAAGCGGCCCCGCTTGCCAGGACCAGCGGCCATGGTAGCCTAGGCGGGGCAAGCGCGGCCCAACATGGGGCGAACCGCCTAGACAGACGGGTGGCGCAGCAGCGATATGCCCGGCCAGCGCGTTTAAGAATCAAATGCGCCCATCGCGTGGAGCGAGCGGCCGCGACACCTGGCGACAACAGGCCGCCCAACAGGGCGCAAAGAACGGGCACGGCGGACCAGTGAGAGTAGGCCGGCCCACAATGGGAAGCCCAGCGGCGGTGGCGCCAGATTGCGAAAAGGCCCCTGTACTATCTTAAATTTAACCCGCGGTACTCTAGTCACTATTCATGTGAGTCACTGACTTTGCAATAAGAACCCCATATTCGTTTCTATTCACCTTTCTCACCTTCACTTTCTTCCCAATGCAGAGCACGGAATAGAGGAAGCAATCCATCGGCCCGTGTGGAGGTGCGCCATGGCGACGATGGGACGACCGGTTCCAACGCGGGTCCCTCCACGACCCCAAGGCAGCCGTGGCACGGCTAGAGGCGGTGCCAGTCGTCAGGACCACTCACAGTGGCGGCTGGCGCGGGAGCGGAGAGGCGCGCGAGGAGCGGCATGGTCAACCACGATCATGGAGGCGAGCAGGATGATGGTGGAGGAGACGTCGTGGAGCAGCAGGTCTGGTGCAGGGCCAAGGGCTCGCGCGCGTCCGTGAGGAGCCGGGCGACAGCGCAGCAGGCGCAACTAAAGGTGGCGAGGTGCTGCGGCGAGGTCATCAACACGGTCGCAACTCTGGGAGGCGAGGTGCGTCCACAGGGTCACTGAGTTGTGGTGGCACGGTCGTGGCCTGGGCGAGGTCCGGGCACGACATCATGGTGGACAGGGTCGAGGTCAACGGCAGTGTGGCCCCGTGTGTCTGCGTGGACACCGACGCAGTGGAGACGATGGAGGACGTGTTGGGGTGCTCGATGCAAGGAAGGGTGAGGTTGTCGTGCTCCAGCAAGCCGTTGGTGTCGACGAAGGACGGAGCCTTCGGCGGACATGAGCGGTAGGAGGTGGTACAAATCCCGATGGCGCAGTCCACCATCGCGACGAAGGACGATGAGACATGGAGGGTGCTTGGTGTTGGAGGTGGCGTGGACTCATGGATTCGGTGAAGACAGGGCTCAAGGCATCATCTTGGGTCGGAGACGAGCAGGTACGGCAGAGGGCAGCGTGGTCATCGTGGCTCAGCTCGATGTCGAGGTACAGGGCGAGGCCAAGGGCATCGGTGCTTGTCAAGGCCAAGGCAGGGTCGAGGCTTGGCGTAGCCATGGCCTAGTGGTGGCGCTGTGGGATGGTGCCCGCGACTAGCAACAGTCCGCGCCGGGGTGCTTGGTGGCGAAGCTCGACTCTGGCGGCTCATGGTCGGAGCAGAGGAGAGGTGCACGGCAAGAGAGGGGGAGCGGACGGAGGCAAGGAAGAGTAGTACACGACAGCAGCAATAGAAAAGGAAGAAAGTAGCTCGCAGGTTCGGCCAACTTCCATTACGCATGGCAGCGCAGAGATAATGAAGAAGCAGACAAATAGAGGCAGCAGCAGCAGAGACAAGCAAGACAAGCAAGGTCAGAGAGCAGAGAGCACGCCAAGAGGCACAGGGTGAAGCGACAGAACTGGCAGTGAGGAAGGGAAAACAAGCAAAGCAGTACACGGCAGCAGCAGCCCGGCCAACTCATCCATCAACACGCGCATCGTACCGGTGAGGTAGGTGAGGCGAGTGGCCAGTGGCACTCGTTATTATTTCAGCTCTCAAATCTTCATTTAACAAGCCGACTATTTATAGTTTCAAACACGGCTAAAGCACTAAAGTTTGTTACTCGATATTTTAAATGCAACCGAAATCATGCTCCGAATTTTACTTAAGTACTATATACCGGTCATATCGTATTTTTGTTTATAAAAATTGTTTTTCATGCTTAATCAATGAAACAAGCCGTTCACTATTTATTTGCTAGAACCGTTATCGGATATTCCTAATATTTCTACGCACTAAGTAATTTAACTTGGGCGTTTATTTGAGCCCACAAAACTGAGTCACACCGGACTCGCTTATCACTTCAAGTATGTTTTAAATCAAAAATCCGAGAAACTCGCTTCGGAAATTTTTCTTAGGCCTAAATCGTGGTGCTAAGCAAGCTCGTAACACCAGAGGTGTTACAGACTGCTATCAATCCTCTGCTATAAATCTTATGGCCTCGCCATAGCGCCCACCCTCACCAGCTGAGCTCGCCCTCGCTCGCACCGGCCTCCGCCCTCGTGCCCTCCCTTGCGCACCGGCTGTGTTTCGCCATAGCGCGTCGCCATCGTCGTCGCCTGCCGCCATCGCCTTCGTCGTCTTGTTGTGCCCTCGAGGAGGACTGCGGACTACCACGAGGAGCTTCCAACATCTTCTGTCTTCCATAAACGTCCACCCTGTTAGTGAATCCCATCCTGCCCTGATGCGTTTCTTTATTTGTTATTGCCTCTAGTGCTTGTGTGATTTGAAATCATGCCTCTTTAAGAGTCTTGAATAGATACTTGTAGAGGCTATGTGATGCGTGTTGTCGTGGTAGTGGTTTGGGAATGGTTGGTCCAGTAATTCGTCATGAACCCTCTGTGTTTCTGTTTCAAGTTCTTAGACTATGAACCTCTATCTGTGCCTGAAATTGAATCGTTACCGCAGCCATTTGCCATGATTTCGTGCTTCTGGTTACTTTGATTTGATGTTTATTGCCTGTGTTCCATCTTTCCATTGAGCTGTCATGATCCTTATAGATTCAAATGGCTGAGTATTCCTATTATGACTGTTGAATTGAATGATGATTAGCACTGGCTCGATCGCTCCATGATCTGGTTCTGCAAGTCGACCGTAGCAACAGTTCCTTTGCTTAACTTTCTTTTACCATTGAGTAAAAGTTTCAGCAAACAATCACTTTTACAGTAACCATTAGTTGCATCACTGGTTTATTTTTTGAGACGTTCATCACTGGATTGATGCCGTTGATGCAAGTTTCAACTGCTAACAAACCTGCAACATTAGCTGGAGCAGCAACACAAGCCATCCGGAAAAAAGGGGGAAAAAGCAGCAACCGTGTCACTTGCACTATTGCACAAGCGCCACCTCTGGAACGACTGAACGAGAGAACAGAGCACACACTACATTGCAAAAGTGACCGGCGCCAATTTTAGTGAGTCGTTTCGACAATTCGATGTCTGCGTCTCGTCTCGGCTGTGCACGCACTCACTGGCATCTGCGACCATCGACAAGATGACGAGTGTGTTGCTTGCTGCTGTGCTGCAGCCGTGGCGATGGCCAATGGACCTACCACGAGCCCACGAGCTGCCGCAAGCCCGCAATGAATGTATAGCCCACGTGTAGTAGTGTTTAGGCCCAAACGTAACCAGTGTGGACAGTTCCAGATCCTTCTGGCCCGTCCGACCATCCCTACCCTGGTCATGCGTCCTTCTTTCCCATGCTCCAAGAAAGAAAACTACCCAAATCCGTTTGTTTCCCACGGCGCAAGAAAGAAAGAAAAAAATAGTAGAATGCGTGCGCCCTCCGCGCACGTGGATAAACAAAATATGGCTATTATATAAAATGCGTCCACCCTGTTAGTGAATCCCATCCTGCCCTGATGCGTTTCTTTATTTGTTATTGCCTCCAGTGCTTGTGTGATATGAAATCATGCCTCTTTAAGAGTTTTAGATAGATACGTACAGAGGCTATGTGATGCATGTTGGGATCTCTAGCTAATGCAAGGCTTAGCTCCTTTTATCTCTTTATAAAATTTATTTCCTGTACTTCTTGGAGCATGTAAATCCTAAAAATTTCATGGCCCTGTTTGGATTGGATTTCTAGAGGATACACAACTCCAATAATAAATCATATAAACCAAAAATTATTTCTAAGACATCATGATAGCAACCAAAACATGATCTTATTTTGGTGGTTTGATTTGCATCACGATCTATCACCGTATACTACAGTTCAAATTTTGTTGGCACGTGGCCACGCACGGGCATCAAATTTGCGGTCATGTATGGTAACAAATTAACAATGTAGGTGTTGTAGTTATTTCAGAGGCCTCACATGACATCATCAAGATAACAGGACAGAGGCACAGAGCACGCGGACAACTTTAAATCTTTAATTGCTTGCCGATCTCTATAGAATAATAGTATATTATGTTTAGACTGACTAATGGCATCCTATATATTTTTCTTGATTTTGGTTTCTCAGTTGCCGATATGGGTTCTGGCTGTCGGTCGCTCAAAAGAAAGAGGGTGTACGCTGACCCACCGCCTGCAATCACCGATACACACATTTATAGGTAACTACGTTATATATATCTTGTAATTGATCGAGGCAATCATTTTCTGTCAACGTAGGTTTACTCGTGTGTTTTATCATTTTGATTGACGCGGACGGGATTGTAGATGGGTCGAATTCCATGAAGTGGGAATGGAACACATATCTTCCATATGGGATGTGAGTGCCATGGTTTTTTGGAAATGTAACGTACGACATCACCATGGTGATACATATTTGCGTGTAATTTTGAAGGATGAGCAGGTGCATTTTGAGCTCATCTTTTTAGACCATGTCTAATTTTTTTTTATACAGACCATTGTTATCTATCTGTTGGATCTAATATTCTTACAGGGAACCAAAATGGAAGCGATTGCGTACGGTGACCAAACCATGAGGTTTAACCGTTTGCTTCGCGTAGGAGAATGTTATGACTTCATGAGAGTTGGCTTCGCGCCTACTCATGTTGGTCCTTTGGGCTATATCTTCCGTTTATGTGCCGACTACTTTGTGGTTCTATCTCCACAAAGTATGGCTAATGCACCACCGAGAGAGCTATGGATTTGTCAGTGTCCTCGTATCTTTATGGAATTCGAGGATGTATACGCTCAAGCTGAGTACTTTTTTGCAGGTATACCTCATACGCCTATATTTAAAAATACATAGTTAACTATTCATGCTCCTATTCCATCAATCGTGCGGATGCGACCGTACAGATATGTGGTGCTGATGAATGAAAGGTACTTAGATTGAAAAATTTTATCATTGCTCCATACTATCAATTTTTTATTGTTTGATGCTAATCAATTTTATAACTCGTAGGTACCACTGCATCATAATAACCGTCAAGTATACACACATATGCCGTCACTTATCGGAATGGCAGCGAGTGGCATCAGAGTTGCGCATTTTAGCTGGTCTCCATGTACAAATGAATAGAAAGAGAGGTATTGTATCACTGATGTCCTCATATATATTGACTAAATAAAGTATCAGTTATTACATTTTTTTTGCTCGTGCATGATAGGCGGAGTGACCACTATTGACGATTTCAGCGAATTGGTATTCAGTCCTATTTGTAATCAGGCGCATGATTTTCAAAGTGGGGTTCTTTTGGGTAATTCATTGATTTAATTTATTGACTACAACACTGACCGAAAAGTTTTTTATTTGTTTATAGGCCTACGCAATCGTATGCTTGTTGATGAAGCCAGACGTCGTCAAGTTCAAGAATTTGTTAAGGACACCGTGTCGCGTCTTATAGATTTAGAGAACTAAATAATATTGAAATTATTTACACGCTTGTGACATGCACTTTGAATAGATGATGGACATGAATTTAGTTTAATATAATAGTCATTTTGTGCATTTTCATATTTGATTGCTTCATTTAGTTTGTAGTATCGGAGACTTCTTGCCGATATAAAATATTATTTTAGCCGTATTACGGAAAAGTCTATATAGTAAAGTTTGTGAGACTACGGTGCCATACTCTTAGTGACTGTTAATTTCACAAACTTTGCTTTTTGGATTAAATGTCAGTTTAATGTCTTACAGTATTGTTATCTTATCGTGCGATCCGTGTGTTTTTAGTACAAAAGTTTAGTTGTCCTGTAGCAACGTACGAGCACGCTACGTATATAAGTAGAAATTTTAACAATAATTTTCTTGACGGTGAACTGACAAAGATATAGAGAGAGAAATACAAAAATTGCCTGACGTCCCATCGTTAGAAACAGTTTCCCTGAGAGTTTTTGGCCAACACGAAATTAAAATTTGACAGATATAGAAATCTATCTCTATGGCCCCGTTCGCTGGGAGGAATCTGGATAAATCTAAAAGAATTTATGAGAGGAAATCAGACATAAACAGTGTTTTTGGTTGTGAACAGTGTTTTTCATCTATGAACAGTACTTTTTAAGTACCAGCCGAACGCAGCCTATATATCATCGGAAACCAAATAGGAAATTTTCTTCTACTGTAAAAAAATAAGCTTCCCTGTCGATACAATGGCGTAAAAAAGTTCTATCATATACTGCGGAAACAACATATTAACTAACAGGAAAACTAAAATCCAGAACACAGTTACTCAAATTTCTTTTAATTCATTCATATAATAGTTCAATTCACACAACGAATCAGAAGTCTAGATTCAAATGACATCTCGTTCCGAGGTGAACACACCTAGCGACCGTCTCTGTAAATGGTCAGGGGCTCCAGAAAAATATCCGTCTCCAAAAATCATTTACAAAGGTGGGAGTTCGAATAAGACGACCATTCCAAAAATAATGATTTGCTTGCTTCAGCATTATTGATACAAGAAGATGGTAGTTCGCTAGGAGACCCATGAGCGATAGCGCGCATTTCGTCGCTCGTGCTCGCATGATCACAAGAAAAAAATAATATATCAACTTTCGTTTCAGAAGCGCACGTAGCGAAATTGAAAAACACAGTCCATTAACAAAAGCACACGCTGAAGTACATTGGATTACACATCCCTTTGGGAACATGGAACACACCGGAGCCTGGCACAGCAACACCAGGCATTACAGGGCAAGGCGCAATGGCCACCACCCTCGCTGACTGCACATGGCGCTCACAGCACACGAGCTCCACCCGCGGGCGCCCACGCATCCAAGCTACACCCTGATGCGTCGCCATCCTTGGTCTTACGGCGAGGCCTCGTGCCCGCCCTCTCCGGCACTGGCCGGAACGGTGCGCCGGTGGCGGGAGCGGCGCCGGAGCTTGCTGTCTGCATAAGGTCCAGCGTCGTGTGCCACGCACCGGGCGGCGCCGCGTGGTACCGGCCACCGCCAACGCCACCGTGGGGGTGCGGGCGCCAGCTGGCTGCTGCCTGATGATCGGCCGGCGGGAGGGCGCAGCCCGCCGTCGACGAAGAGGCGAAATGCCGGCCGGGCGCCGACGACGAGCGGTCCGAGAAGTACTGCCACGCGAGGAGTGAGGCGCGGTTCTCGGCGATAAGGTCATCGAGCGCCGCGCTGGAGCGCGCGGAGATGTCCGGCGTCGTGACCAGCCAGGGGGCGCCGCTCGCCGCGCCGCCTCTGGCCGATGACAGAAGAGAGAGAGCACCAGCCGGGGACCCCGGGAGGCCGCCGCACGGTGGCTGCAGGAAGCCGTGGCCGAAAGCCGTCACTCCTGCATTGTAGTTTGACCATTAGAAAATAATTTTAATGCAAACCCAATGTAATCAATTTTGTAGTATAATAAGCTCCGAATTTTAACGTACGTGTATGTATGTTTCATTCAGGATGGAGAGAGGGTAGTAGTTACAAGTCTGACGTTCTGAAAGAATCTGAACGAAAGACGCAGCTACCGATTTATTAGCAGTAGTACTAGATCGAGTACCTTCGTACACGTACGCTCAGTACTAGATTCGTTCGCACAGGAGTAGCAGAGTACTGTGCACTGTAGATACGCTGTGCCAAGTTTGGCCGTTCTTGTTCCTATACGTACGTACTAGCCTACGTACCTAGACGTGACATAGCTCATCGTACGTAGCAGTGCACCGCATAAACCATCGCGCAAAATACGAGCGGTACGTACGTACACCTACCGAACTACGTACGCGTATGAGCATGGCTGCTGCGGCCGGCACGGCAGCCGCTGCATGCCGTTATATATAGTGATTGAAGAGAGGGGGAAAAGCAAAACCTACAGCAGCAGCAGCCACCGAAACCTACCGAATTAAATACTTCAATGAAGACTACTTTTTGTATAACGTAGAATAACTTCTTTCCTAACTATTTCTTCTAAATTTATATAGCTCTCTCATAGTGTACATCGGATGTTTAGGTATGAACACGAACCGTGAATCCACGGTGCCGTAGCTCTTGCATTTTAACAGTCCCGACTGATTCCCCCACCCCCCCCCCCCCAAGCCACTGCGAGACGTTCTACTGTGACTGAAAATTTTCCCACTGTGAGACGTTTTACCGTGAAGTGATCATAGCACGGTCGGCCTATACCCACTCATCGGACACCAGACACCACCAGTGTAGCAGGCCGCAGGTGCACGTAAAGGCACGCGTAAAAATCCGTGCCCTAACGGGCTTTGCACGTCTCACATTCCGAGGATTAGCCTTTCATCTACAGTGCACAGTACTCTGCTACTCCTGTGCGAACGAATCTAGTACTGAGTGTACGTGTACGAAGGTACTCGATCTAGTACTTCTGCAGCTTTTGCTTACTCTTATTCTCGACAATTGTTTTTTTTTTCTTGCCACACTACTACTGCTAATAAATCGGTAGCTGCGTCTTTCGTTCAGATTCTTTCAGAACGTCAGACTTGTAACTACTACCCTCTCTCCATCCTGAATGAAACATACATACACGTACGTTAAAATTCGCCAGCAGCAGCTATCTCTCCATGTTTCCCGGCATCAAACCAACTACCCCCTGCTGAGTTTTTTTTACTATAGTGAAGGGCGGGCCTGGTAGAGTCTTAGCGTATGTGACTTAAAAGTCCCGGGTTTGAGTTGTGCTCTCCTCGCATTGCACAAGTGAGGGTAGGGCTCGCCACTGGTAGGGCTTGTCACTGACACCCTTCTCCAAACCCTACACAGAGCGGAAGCTCTCTGCACTGGATAGTCTTTTTTTTTACTATAGTCCTCTAGCTACCGATACCGTGATTCCGGCCGTGAACCGAATGTGCATCAAGTGGCTGTGGTCTTACTGCAGCTGGTCCCTGCCCAACTTAGGGCGCGTTTAGATCCAAAATTTTTTGGGTTTTGGCTATTGTAACACTTTCGTTTGTATTTTGCAATTAGTATCTAATTATGGACTAATTAGGTTCGAAAGTTTCGCCTCGCGATTTCTCATCTAACTGTGCAATTAGTTTTTTTTTCGTCTAAATTTAGTACTCCATGCATGTGCCGCAAGATTCGATGAGATGGACACTGCGCAAAATTTTTTGGTTTTGGGAACTAAACAGGCCCTTAGTTATCACATCCTGGACACAAAGCATCCAGATCGGAGGACGCCGGGTACGACGACGGACTGACAGAGGACGGACGGACGTACACGTACCGTGTGGGTGCGCGACGCCTCTGGCCATGGTCTCGCTGGCGTTGCTCTTCCGCCGCCGCTCGTTGTGCCCGGCCAGCCGCCGCCGGCAGCTCCGCTTCGCGTCGTCGAACTCCGAGATCGCGTGGAACCTGCACGTGCATCCAGAAACACACAACAAGGGACGTCGTTTCGCGCATGTACTTATCAATTCAATTCAAAGGTTGCTGCTACTCCTAATACTACCTTTCATGGACAACGGAGTATACGCATATAGTCGAGCTAAATTAATGTACCCACCGGCTGCACTGCTGGCAGAAGCGCTGCTCGGCGCCGAGCACGACGACCCGGGGCGCCTTGGAGTGCGCCTCGCACACCTTGTGCCGCCGGTGGTAGTCCTTGGCGTCCGCCAGCGCCACGTGGCACCCCTCCACCTGGCACCTCGGCACGGCCGCCGCGGCCGGCGCCGCCGCCTTCTCCTTCCTCTTACCCTCAGCAGCTGTCCCGCTCGCGCCACCACCAGCGGCGGCGCTGCCATTGATGGCGTGGACCTGCGGCAGGCCCGCGCCAGCCTGCGCCACCACTTGGTTGCCCCCCGCCCCGGCCCAGCAGCAAGCGGGCCGCTTCCCCAGCTTGAGGCAGGTCAGCTCGTGCTGCGGCGGCGGCTGCCGGTGCAGCAGCTGGAGCTGGCTGGGCACGCCGCCTGGGCGCAGCGCCAAGGGCTGCTGCGGGTACGACGAGCCGGCGGAGGGGTCCCAGTGCATGGCGAGATCCCAGGGCGGTGCCGCGCTTCCGCTACCGCCGCCCGCGCCACCGT